ATCTTCAAAAAGATTTTTTTAGTATTGATGATTAATAAGATATTTATGGTTAAATATGGAGTTTATTGTGGAAAAGTGAATTAGATAAATTGACAATTTATCAAATAGCTTTCAATTATGTTTAATTGAACATAAAGGTTTTTAAACCGCTGATGTTAAATCGACAAAATTATGAACAAATTGTGACATTTATACATTTTACAACATTTTAGTTCTCAAGTTTTGATATTCGTTATATTGAGGTCTATAATTTTGAATTTGTCGATTTTGACATTGGATTTATATTAAACGGCAGAAAAGTGTTTAAATAAATATAATTGAAAGCTATTTGTTAAATCATCAGTGATTGAATTCACAGCTCTTCCGTAATAGATCCCATATTTAACTATATAGTTTATTAACTATAACAGATATTAAAAAATCCTTTTGAAGGCTTGGTAAATTTTGATTTACCAAGGCTTCAAAAGGATGGCTTTTGAAAGTCCTGATAAATTTTGATTGAAATAGAACTTTCCTAGTCACATATCGTAGTTATAATATGACAAAATATATAAAAATAGTCTTTTCTATAAATTAAATTGCCGATTTAAATACTTAATAATTTTAAAAAAATTATGACTTGATTCGTATCTAAAAAAATTATAAGAAGTGACTCATCTTGTTCCAATGTTCGAAAAAGTCTTTTTTATAGTTTATAGAATAGTGCATATGTCATTTTATATTATTACCTAATTATTATTATGAATTTATCAAAGTAGAATTAGCTCGATTTCTTTCTCCTGCTTTAAAAAATGGAATATTTCCTTTATTTTTTACACGAATTTTAATATTTTAAAATATACAAACATATTTTATACACAAAAAAAGCGCTATTGCATTGTATATTTTGCTTCAAAACTTTTATTATTGTAAGTATTAATATGATAGTCGTTATTGCAATGATTATTTTTAATTTAGCATATGAAAAAAAGTACAAAGACATTTTATTTCTCTTTGGTATTTTATTTTAACTGGAATATTTTAATTATCATGAATGTGAGCTACGTAAAATGAACAATTTCTCTAACTTAAACAATCTGCTCATACATTTTGCACAATTTTTGTAGGAATGCAAAAATTAAATTTTCTACGTAGCTATCAACGATGTTATTTTTGAAACAACAACCATATGTGTAATATCACATCTATTTGGAATTTGCTCTTGTGCTATACATTTTAAAAAGGGATATACTTTTTTTATTTTACTTATCCACTATTTTGAAACGGAAATATTTTGTATGTAAAGAATGCGCTATTGCATTATATATTTTAGGACAAAATTTTTTTATTATTGTAAGCATTAATATGATAATCATTATTGTAATGATTGTTTCTATTAAAAAACAAATAAGAAGCACAAAGACACTGTTTCTCTCTGGAATTTATATTTTAGATGGAATATTTTAATTACCACAAGTATGTGTTATGTAATGTTATGACAACAATTTCTCTAACTCAAGCAATCTGCTTGTGTAATTTGTACAATTTCTGACGTAGAAAAGCTAAAATTAATATTTTGGCGTAGCCATCAACATAGCTTCTAAACCAACAATCATGTGCCATACCGCGTCTATTTGAATGTTCGTGATAAGCAGGTATTTATGTTAGCGAGATATATTAATGGCATCGCTGTTTCCTCGATGAATATTCGTGCGACAAACGAGAAACGTCTTTCCTCGAAACATTGGTAGTGTGAATTGCAGAATGGGAGTTAGTGAATAACTCTTACAGCAAAGTGCTGAAGGGCTTCCGCTAGTAATTGTCATTCAAGGGATCTCGTTGCAGCGCGGTTAGCCATGTACGTTCGAACATCAGCTTTCGCAGTGTATTGTTATAGAGTGTTCTGAATAGAGATACACATCGAATGTTGTCGTCGTCACTGACACTCCAATTCGACTGATCTTCCTTAACGATTGCTTTGATTGCAGGGACCCGACAATTTGTAGCTAGTTTTCTTAATTATAAATATTATTATTCGGCAATTCAACTATAGGAATTAGATTAAATTTAAATCAAGATTGATCAGTTTAAACCTTTGGTTGGATAATATGGGCTGAATAATGCATTATCCACTGACGCTTTTGAAGCTCAATTCGCTAAAATCTCCCAACTTTTCTGAGGATCAAATAACTTCGCTACTATCAGTGCACGTAAATGATCGCCGTTTTTTTTTTATTTTGTTGCACTTTGTTGAAAAGCATATCCGTTGCCTGTAGAACACTTTGTAAATAAACTTCTCGATATTTTTAGTAAACGATAACATGTAGCGTTACATGTTCATGTTACAATGCCTGGCAAAAACGATGTGACTATTAATGACATTGTGATTAACTTTAGAACATATAAGATCTTTCTAATCGAAATTTCGCTTGCTCCTTACACGAAAAAAAAAAAAAAATGAACAGTTTTATTTTATAACTTAATAATATAAAACTTTTTGACATTACAGCCTATATCCCTAAATCCCCAAATCTTCAAAATGAAAAAAAGGGAATCTAAAAAAAAAGTATTAATCTGAACCAAAAGTACAGCCTATCAAAGTTACAGTGAGTCTTCCAGATTTATGGTGTGTGTTTTCAAAAATATATGTTCTACAAGGATTAAATAAGGATAATCGAGCGTCGTATATTCGACTCATATTCAAATGCTTCATGAATGGCAAACTGTATTAACGAGCCGAGCGACAAAAATAACTCGTCTTGCGATCCTTCCGACTCCGTTCGTAAGCTTTCAAGCAATTTAACGGCACGTCTAATTTAATTTGTGTGTTTACATGTCCATGGACTTAGCCGAGCAAGGGAGATCGATACTGGTGGACCACGCGCTTAGGCTGGAATGATTTGTTGGCTAACTGCCATCGTCGTAAATTCTATTTTCACAGATACACGCGACCAGATGCGTGGCGTGATCGTTTCGACCATAAGATTCGCAAACTGGGTTATCAGGTGGAAAGGATCGAAAAGAATGCTTCCTGTGAATTCTTTATGGAATTCTTCATTTTGAAAGAAATTTTTTTTTGGTCCGCGTATCCGCTGACTTGATTCCAACCTGCAATTTTGCGCAAAGAGACGCGTATACGTAATTTGCAGAAGAAAAGCTAGAAATATCAGACAAGAGATAGTTGAAACAGCAATGTTTTTCGAAATAACACGAAAACTTTTGTGTGTGTGTGTGTGTGTGTGTGTGTGTGTGTGTGTGTATTTATGACATTCTATGTAATTCAGATTTATATTTTTGAAACATGCATGTATAACAATCAAAGCGTAAGCGCAGTGAATACAAAGTCACTTAATTTAATATGTCGGATAATGAACTTATATTCCTAAACTTCTCTCTGATAATATAATAATTAATATGTGGCAGGATAATTTAAATTTTTAACACTTCAGCAATCAAAGGTATTGCGCAGGATTGCGCCATGTTTTTTTATTTTTATTGTCCGCAATTAATCAAAAGTTCAATGACTGGTAATTTAATAATGATCGGATAAAGGGAATTTCAGGGCTTCACGATGATTGCATCAAACGCGATGAGCAAACTCCAGCGCTACGGTCTATTAGTCGGTTCTTGCATGATCTTATTCGGATACGCGTCGGTAGTTGTACGGATACAGGATGTCAGTTAGAGATAGATTCATGTCGAAAGTCGTGAATCGTTAATGCGTAGGAGTTGGCCGGACTCCAGATAACATGCGAAAAGCCATATTTCTCGTGCTTTGGTACACGACGAAATGAAAATTATCGAACGCTTGGAAACACGAATAGAATATGTAATAACAACATGTATCACACGATGGATATACTCCGAAAAATTCACTGTATTTTAGATACTTTTAGATACTGAAAATGTTTAAAATTTCTTCTCTATAGAAATACAAATAATATACTTGAATTTCTTTTACAATCGTTGTGACGATTTCTTAACTTTTGAAAGCTTGCAAAATAAATTTAATGAATAGATTTTTTTTTTATTACTTTTATGCGTTTTATATTTTTATTAATATTTTTATTAATGTTATTGTTATTATATATTATATCATGTAACATGATGTCATTTGGTTGTTTTCATAATGGTTGATTCATTTCACGAAGATGGCACATCATATTTCGCATTGATACACAATTTTTTTCTTTCAACATTTTGTTAGGTTCTGAAAGAGTGCTTTTTTTATCGATTAAAATTTATGTTGTGCCATCCACGACTTCAATAAGCTCCAAATAATTGGCTCGTTGCCAGAGTTGCGAAAAGCGATCAGTCTCTTACCAATCAACAATGGCGAGAGCTATCAATCGCGTTTCTGACCTTCGCGGTAGATCGCGTAAAATGGTTTCATCGAAGACTTACGATTAGTTTCTTTCTGCAGAAAAGCTCTCTACCACCTGCTGATCTCAATAGAATGGAAATTGAATCGATTTGTTCTGACGTAGATATATAGGGACTGGGACAAACGTGAATAGTTGTGGAGGCGTAAAATTGGACGCGAAAATATCGATTCGATGGTAACTGAGAAGTAGAAATTAGGACAGAGATCATTTTCGTCCCGCATATCAAATTCGAAAAGAAATATTTAACTCAAAGCGTCAATTTGCGTTTCTCTAAAATAAATACATGAAACCACAAACACACACTCACATACATGACGATTACGTAATGCGGTCGCTTTTTTTTCACAGATTGTATATATCGCGCTACATTTATTAGCCTGGCGTCATTAGGTATTTCGCTTAGCATAAAGTCATTTTTATTGTATATATCCTATATTTGTATAATTTAAAGTAAAATAAAAAATATTGTTATTTAAGAAATGACTTTTTAAAATATTAAAAATATACTGAGTATACGAAGATTTTTTAAAAGATAATATGTTTTAGAAATAATCTATAAAATATATGTATATATATGAATATATTTTCTGTGTATCAAGACTTCAAATTTATCATCGGTATTTGTTTCTGTTTCAGATCTAGTGTGGTTCGGACGTTGACGTATTTCATTCTTGTAACTTGTCAAAAACATCAATCATGGAGACGCAAACTGAGGTAAGTCTTTATACTCTTTGTAAAATTTAAATTCAAAATTTTGAAACTCTGATTTTAAGGTGCACACTTAAATTATTTTACTCCTTGCCTGCATGAAAATGTGCAAATTATCAGATTTTATCAAGCAAGACAGAAATGATGTGCATTTATTTTATGCAAACAACTTTCATCGTATTTCTAAAGTCCTGCATTTTTTTCAAAATGAACATGAAAGCTTGTTATGGAAAATTTAATATGATTTTCTACTATCGTGATTGCATGGCTGAAATTTACACGAAATAACGTATCCAGATACATGCATTTGCTAGAAGTTTTAATGAGCCTCAAAATTTTTTATTTATAAGAAAAATTCGATAATTATCGTTCCATTTTAACTTATAAGAGTAACTTTATATAAGAGATATATTTATATAGAATACTTGGAGAATAATTTAAAAATTTTTAAATTTATAATGCATGAAAGGATAATGAAAATTTTAGTTAATACACTTAAGAATCAACATCTTTTCATATACAAGACGTTTTATGTTTCAGCATTTTAAACAGTTTAAAGCATTTTTTTGTTCTCGCGGTTCTATCGTAAATAAAGCACTGAAACTTTGATGTCACTCATGATCTTCCGTTATTTCATTTTAAATTTCTAAAACATTATACAACCTACATTATATAAACTCAGAATAAAATGTTCTAAAATAGAATGATTTAAAGAGTACGATAATATTTAAAAGTAAGGATAGATATTTTTTTTACAAATTTTTCAAATCTTTATGTCAGATTCTATTGATGCAATTTTACAATAAAATGTGTAATAATCATGAAATGCATGTGGATATACTTTTTTTTGGGTTTGATGTTTCTAGAATTAAATTGTTGATAAATTTAATATAATCTAGAAAAGAAAATTCTAAACTGGCTGAAAAATCTCTCAGGTTTGCACGTGAATATTTACTTTTTTGAAGTTAATATTTCTAGAATTGTCGATAAATATAATACAATTGAAAGAAGAAAATTCTAAATTGATTGAAAAATCTCTTTGGTTTTTAAAAAATTATACCTTTGGTATTTAAAAATTATAATAATTATGGTTTTTAAATTATATATTAAAATTATAATTATAGTTGAACTCGTTCTGATTCTTTTCTGATTCTTTTTATTAATATTTCATCGTTTTGTCAATATAATGAAGCTGGAAGTAATCCATTATGTCAATGTACTCCATCGTATCAAATCGGCTTTCAGACGTGGTCGATTAACCGATATTCCCCTTTCCTCCTCCTTCTATCATTCAGAAGGGAATCCTCTCGCGAGCCCTCGAATCGAAGGTAGTCATCAATCAGCAACTCAACAATGTGAGATCTTGAAAACGATCGACAAGAAGGAGGACGTGAAGATAGATCTGACATTTCCTTGAACGACAACGGAAGTCGAGCTATCAGTTGCGTTAAACTTGTCGGTACATTAACATTATCTCTTTTTCGCGAAAGTACTACTCTATTACATAAATATTTATTTATACTACGAATTGTCATTTCTTATGCAAATTATATAATGACGCAAGTATTATACTGAAGGATTGCTTGCAAAAAGTAGTACGACCGTGAACCGCCACTACGCTATAATATTAGTAATTGCACTTTAACATTGCGTGGACTTTGCCGCGTTGGAAACATCCATTAGATCATTTATTATAAAAACAACCATTTATCCATTCTTATTTTTTTTTCTAAATTATGAGACAACTTATAGACAATTTCATGAAGCTAGATCTATCTGTTTATGAAAATAAATGACATTTGATGCATCTGAATTAGAAAAATAGAATTTATTTCCGTATCTTTTATTTCTTGGATAATCTATTTAAGTGCTATTTTAAGTGAAAATTTTTAACATTTAGAAAATAAAATTTATTTTTAAGTATTTTGATATAACTTTATATAATATTAATGAAAATTACTTACTTACTCGTGCTTAAAATAATAGATATTTTTCATTTTAGTTTTCCAACAAAAATTGTTCCTGAAATAATTTGATTGAAATGTGTCTCGAGATTAACCAATTTGAAATTTTTCATGCTAGAGATGAAAAACATCTCGGATTATTAAAAAGTTGAAGTTTAGTAAATTTATTAATTTAGTGAAATTCTTTGGATTGATTATTTATTCTAAATATTTTTAAATTACAATGCTATTTGAATCCGAACTTTAATTAATTTATCGTGCAATACTGTCTATTATTCATTTATATAAAAAGAGTTTAGTTTAAAGCATATACTGACGGACTTTAAATTGGAATTTTATTCATTTATAAACTGAATAACGCAAGCGGAAAACAATAAATCACGGTTATGTATCAGTAGATGGAACATGGTATACGTCGTACTTTCCTCATTAAAACAAGAGATTTTACGAAAGCACTTAATAGAAAATTTATCTCGTTTATTGTAATATGTTTTCGTTATCCTACATAAACGGCAAATCTAAAATTTAATATTATATATCATTTATGCACAGAAGAAAATGCCTTTGTATTATATGATTTTATGTTTATTCGATTAATATGCTATTTTTATAATTTATCGTTTGTTCATTTCTTCTGAGCAGTAGTATTTATGCGTTTTCTAGCGTGAAATTTAAAAGAAACGCAGCTATTTTATGAAAGCTACATTGCTGCGGCTTGATGGCAACTTTACGGGCGTGTCCTATATACATACATGTACATATATATCTTTATTATTACGAGCATCACTGCTAAAAGCAACGGTCAATTTTTAGATAGTAGTAGTGCTTGCTAGTGTAGCGTGCACATAGCATTATATTGTGAATTACCTATAAACTAGATAGCGTTGACGTAAGATAAGCGCGTGATCTCTTAGAGTACACATTCTTCCACGTGCTGCAACTAACGATAATTCTTATTTACTACACATATAAAAATTCTTATACTACTGACTTCTTAAGAGCAATTTATTTTTGATACTCGCTATTTATTTCGAAGCAACAATACAAAGACTTATTTTTTTTACCAGTTAATGTTAATTTTGAAGCTCGCAACTCTTTGAAATTGATTAGCTTGTAATGTTGATATCGATATTATCGGGAGATAAAAATTAAGCAAAAATATCTTGTGCTAAATATACGATTAGAAGACGAATGACTGACAAAAGTCACTTGTTAGGCATGGTTATTTGATATTCATTCAAATAAAACTCAGAATGGATCAACTATATTTAACGTGACATGTGGTGAAGAAATGTGGGTTAAGGTTCTTTTTAAAAAAAAAAAAACGTAATTGCCTCGACATTGAGTTAGCGAAACGACTGTACCAGTGTTAAAATAGAAAAGCCCGCTCCATAATTGAACATCGAAATCTTGTTATTTTCGGTTTTGATCTCACTCAATTTTATTTTCATTTTACTTTGGTTTTTCAATTACCATTCTCTTCCCCCCACCATCCGTACATGTAGCGCATTTCAATCACCAAAAATGAGGACAATGATGTTTTCTATTGTAATTTTATTTTTTTATTGTAATTTCATTTTCTATTGTAACAAAAGATATGTAAAATGTGATGGCACGCGAGGATTGTGCATGCTCGATCTCTTTTAGAACTCAGTTCGTTAATAATAATGCTTTTATAAATTGGTTGAAAATCTCCAATAAAACGCTTTTAATTGCTGTGTGAAAATACTTTTGTATTCAATTGTTTTTCAGTCACTTACATTAAAACCATTAATGCGCACTTATATCTTGTTTTACTTTGTATCAATTTTAAAGTGAGTTGGGTTTCTACATCACATGAATATCTTATTTCACTCAGGTGGTGTGCAATTAAAACTGCTATAAAAATATCTGTGATCTAGGTATATATACGTGCTTTTTTAGTGTGGCGTGAAATTTCAGTGAAATGTTAAATACGAATCTTCTGGCACATGGATGTGTTTAATTGAATGTTAATTGACGGTTCGCTATTTATCGCTCTGTTTGATTTAGGAGAACCATGTCACATTTATGAGATATGGGAATCGTCGACTTTTCCCGAATAATTATCGATATTTGCTGTTCGTATTTATTGAACGTAGTTTGGAAATGGTTTACGGACAGTTTATAATCACAAACGCAGTGATAGAAGAAAAATTACATTAGAAATATATGTTTCCGGCAGAGATTTAATGTTCTGTTTTCACAGAAAATATTTGATATTTTTATAGCGAACTGAATTTTTCATTATATTTTTTTATTAAAATATTTTTTTATTAAAATAATTTTAATCGTGCAATACTAAATGTTTCTCTGCTAATATAAATTTATTTTAGATAATGCATTAGTTATATTATTTGCGAACAATATTACGAGATTAAAATTATAATACATATATATATAATCTAAACAATGTAAATGTTTTATTTTTATTTTATTTTATAAAGAATGTATAAAGAATGTATATAACACTGACGTTATATATGTCAATTTATACTCGATTATACTCAATAAAATAAATTATTCGTTTTGCGAAAATATAGTAAGCAAGAGCTTTTGTTCATCGAGATCTGCTCGCAATGTAATCCGTATGTGATATTCAGATATACATTGGCATTACTGTACAAACTAACTAATTAATGAATAAGTGGAGTTTTGTTGACTGGATAATAAATGTTCGCACTGCAAAGCCGATAACGTCTGTCAGCTGGGCAGTGCACGCTTATTTACGACGTTCTGAAGCGTGCCAATAATTCGTTTTTATGTTGAGTGCACCTCAAGCTGTAACAATGCTAGTAATTATGTGTACAATATGAATTTTATTCTTGTGAAAATGATGTGAAAATTAAAAGTAAAATTATGCATAAAATTTATATTACACACACACACACGCACACATACACACACACACACACACACACACACACACACACACACGCGTTCTATTTTATTTTAATACAAGTTAATTAAAGTAATTATAATTTGAGTAACTATGATTTGTAATCATTTTACATTGTGTCTCAATATTTTAATATCAATATATAAAAAGTAACGTACGTTTCAAAAAAGAAAATCGTACTTAAAAAATATACTTTCATAAATTAATGTTTGTGTCACAAACGATTTCTTTTGACGTATATTCTTGCGGTCGGGAATAATTAATATCTAAAAGAATCTACTACAATGTATAATGATTATTTGTATGACAAAATTTTGCGAATATCCCGACTGTGCAGAGAATCGAGAGCTTCTTCGTTTAGCGTTTACAGTAAAGCGGCTTTGTCATAAAACGTTCTGCTTCATTATTTCATGTCGCGACATGACCGGATGCAACGTTCATTTCTATGCAATAAAGTTATTACGAGTCATATCATAGTCCAATGTAACGATTTCCTCAATAATGCGTTGAAATCTCTAACGGCGACGATTTATATTTATTCTGCAAAGTTTCACTGCAGTCATGCTTTGCGCGATAAAATCGAAGCGATGATTTTTGAAGCGAATAATCGATAAATTGTCAATGTTGTGATGAATATTGGGAACTAATACACAAAAACGTGAATGCAGAAAATATTTGGAATGTAGTGAAAATATAGAAGTAACTAGGACAATAAAGCGCGGAATGTCAATTTTATAATTTCGATATAGAGAATATTTTTTATGCAAAGTTCTATCATATTTTATGTTTCCGAAGATTCCAATGCTTTTGATGTATAAAATCGATCTTATGCTTAAGGAACTATTTTTAAAAACTAATATATTACATTGAGGTATTTTGAGATAATATCTAATTCAAAATCATTTTTTTTTTTATTATGATAAAACTAAACTTATCTTGATATAATAATGTTCTTAGTACTTTCTTTCTAACAAAGGTTTTAATTAATGAAATATTAATGAAAGCTACATTCATGTTTCTATCATAGTTGTAGATTGTGACGCATATTAAATAGCCGTACGTTACAAAGTCAAATTATGCTGTAACGTGTACCGGACGTTTATAACTTATCTTACTTTTGCGACTGCAATTCATTAATATTCCACGCGTTGTTTGCCGAACAGATGCCGGGAAACACAACGGTGGGTAGCACGCTACTCGACGAGGAACTTCGTCGAATTCTATTGGAACGTGAGCAAGAATGCATGAAGCTGAAAGCCGCGAATACGACGCTGCCGCCGACGGGTAAAGTATTTCATGTTTGAAAATAAGCGAAATCGACTAAACAGGAGTAAAAATGGCGAGTAAAATTGTGCAGAAAACACGCACGCAATGCACCTTCATTATATGCAATGCAACATATCGCGTACTTTATCAGACCTATTTGCTTTATCTCGGTACTCAATCGATTAATAGTGACTGCACATTAATATATCGGATTTTTCTAGATTAGACATTTCGTTTATTATTAATACAAGCCCGTTGACAAATGATAGGAAACAATGAAATTGTGGTATTATATGCGGAGCATGTGTTGAAGCTCGCACATGCAAGTATACAAATTGTAATTAACTATATAATTTATTAAATATATAATTTATTAAAACACTATGTACAACATGAAATAAGAACGTTGTTTTTAACAACCGTTTTGAAATTTTTTTTTTGTACATTTCGAGGAGATAATGATTTCTAAGGTGTTGAATTTATCAAAATAGAGAAAAATATTATTTTGTACGGCGTGTTCACTTATTCTTCTTCAATTTTATTGCTGCATTGTCCTTCTTTGCACAAGCCCGCGATCCGAACAAGAATTTCTTTAATTTTCGGAGAATAAATAGCGCGATATAAAGCACTATAATAATTACAGTGAATATAAAGGCGTAAATGTCTATTAGATTCCGTTGCCACCAATTGAGTTTAATTCCTGGTGATTGAAGCACGTTTCCGAATTTTGTTACATATTCCACCCAAAATATAGCTGCATCCAAAGGCCTCATCGGTCGATCAAAGAACAGCTTCGATAGTTTTTGGATATTTTCACTGAAACGAAGAGAAGCGTTGACGAATCAATATAACAGGGTTGATGTTTACAGACGAAATTAATTATAGCAAAACTCAGAAGTTCGTAATGAGCAATATTTTTAATTATGTCATATTTTCATTCGATGCTGAATCGTGAAATTTTAATTGTTTTTAACTGTAACAGTGCACACTTTTTACATAGATTTCACATTTTTCTTATTTTTTTTCCATCCTGTCCTAGTTAAAGCGTTTGCTCTTATTATTTAACCTTTATGCGTAAATCGTATTTCATGGATTTGTGCAGGTGAAATGGACGTGGAATTTAAAGCACATACCAATTGATTAGAATTGACTCACGATATGCATTGGAGAGTAAAGCAAGATTTGGTTACAATAGAGAGCACACGCTCTGTTTATTTCGCGATATGGAACGGTGCAACCGGTTATGGATCAATAAATGGCTAATAAGATTTAAAGCAGTGAATTTTGACTTCTGAAGTTCATTTAACTTGTGATTGTTGCACAATGTTATCATATTAACACCAACAATAGTAAAATCACATATTTTTATTTAAACAATTTTATTTCTGAAAGTAATAATAAATGAAGTTAAAAATATAATAGACATACAAAAATAAAAAAGGCTAAAGAACTTTAATAAAAAATATATAACTTTTAATTATTTCCATACATATACCGATTATTGCAAAAAATATTATTAAGGCCTCAGTGATCTAAAGGCTTAGGATGCTCGCACAGAATGCTAGAGATTCTGATTCGAGCTAATATTTTCGCAATAAATTTTTTTTATATATACAGATTTCTAGTATATTAAGATCTTTTTAACAGATGCCTATTGAGCAAAATTTAATTGTGATATTATTATTTCAATAGTTTAGCCTAGTTTTTAAGTTCGGAAAAATTAACTCGGTGCACAGTACGTGAATGACTACTAATATAGTATATATGCATATATAGTATACAAATTCACATTGAAATTATTTAAGCATTAAAGATTCGACCTTTATTTCTTATTTCCTATTGGTTAGTGTGTATAAGTATATGTATAAGTATATGTATAAAAAATACAACGTTATAAAAGATATAACATTATTATTGCACGATCACTAAATGTAACATCTTGTGAATTCAGCACAGGCACGTCCTGTATTTGCAATCTCTCTCGCGATCAATGTTGTGATTCCATTAAACCCAGTTGAACACATTACAATTAACAGACAACTGTACAATGTTTAAGCTTTCCGATGTTAATAGTCTTTGAGCACTTACCGATAAGAGGAATCCTTCAGAATGCTATTTATTGCCGAAGTTAATTTCTCCTCAGTAACATTGTTTACTGAATTCAACGAAATAGCCACCTTCTTATTGACATAATTTTTAATGTTGATGCGCTGATCACCAAACAGAGGAATTCCAATCATAGGAACTCCGCAATAGATTGTTTCTTGAGTCGAATGGAGCCCGCCATGTGTAATAAAAGCTCGTATGTTTTTATGCTCTGAAATTCATAGTGATGCTAATTTTTCTTTATTGCAAAAATATGATTGAAAATGATAGATATAACAATGATTTAAAAGATGATATAGAATATCTTCCTAAACCAATTATTTGATTTTTATTTATTTCAATATTTTTTAGGAACTTGATTTAATTAGAGTGATTTTTATCTTAAACAATTTTTAAAACTTTCAAAATTGCTTTTCTGAATAATGATAAAAGTAGTAAATTTTTTTTCCAACTATACACAATATTTTCCGTTTAACATAATTAGCTAAATTCCAAAATTACTTATTTTACAAACGCATTCTTTGCGACTTTTCGAATATAAAGTCAATCCAATTAGAAAAATTTCTATCATGAGAAAATACAGCGATTTTTGGGAATACTTAATTTATGTACAAATATTTTATTGCTGTAGTATGTAAATCCTGTGAACTTTTTATATTAAAAATAATTCTAAAAATAATTATATGACGAAACGAAATCAGTTATTTTTATGCTCTGATGTGTGATAATTACATACTAGTTGATAATTACATACTGAGAACGGCGATCTGCGGGAACCACGATTGCGACATGACATTTTTTGGTAAGCCTGGTAATAGCTCTTCCTTTTTTACGATTTTCATCAATACACGAACCGGTGCGATTTTCTCGAAAGATGCGTAAATTTGTTGCAATAATTCCTTAGAAAAAGTTTCAATCCTCACCATAGAACCGAATGAAAAGTAAATGCAGCCATCCTTGCTTTCGTCCAACCATTTTTGCACTTCCTATATACGTATATTTCTTTAGAGCATATAATTTATGATGTTACATAATTCTTCCTGGGTATACGAGGTATGTTTTTAAATGCAAGAAATTTTGAAATGAGCATATTTAAAAAATATTTCTTGCAAGAAAATATGAGATGTAGTTGAAAAAAAAATTAAATAAAAAAGTATTGAATAAAATTATTAAATATGCAACGAAAAAGTATTCATATTTCTATATTTCTATATTTATCATAATTGTTATACATATAATCATATATATAATAATTATTAATGAAACATCGAATATTTT